TTGTACAATCTCACTGTGAAAATAATTCAAAAGCACCTTATGATGCCAAGAAGTCTTCATTGGTAGAAATTTATTTTTTTAAAAAATATTTATTATTTATTTATTATTTATTTTTATTTAATTTGCATTGGTTTTTTTGTCTGTATGTATGTCTGTATGAAAGTGTCAGATCTTGGAGTGACAGACAGTTGTTAGCTGCCATGTGGGTGCTGGGAATTGAACCAGAGACCTTTGGAAGAACACGCAGTGCTCTTAACCTGCTGAGCCATCTCTCTAGCCCCCTAGAAATTTATTCAGTACATACAAGACATGTATGTATAATGTTACATTTCATAAAAGAAAAATCCGCAAGGTTCAAAAAGTAAATATGATAGTATAAAACAATCTAGTAAACTCCATATTTAGACTTTATATTGTATTTATCAAAAAACATAACATAGAAATATACTTTTAAATTTTGAAATGAAAAACTATAATAAAAATATATAGTAAGATATCTCTTGTGCTATAAAATTGTTTAGTACTGAATGGTATATAATAAGCAGTTACTTCCAAGATTATAAAATTATGCATGTTCTTTACATTCAAAAAAAGGCAAGTCCAATTGAGTCAACCTTTTTGCTCAAGTCTTCTCTCAAAAGGTCACACTGCTGTCCACTTCCTGTTGGTTCTCTTGTTCCTCAGGTACTGGACCCATTGATGAGCAACACCTGCCAAAGTGATAGGGCAGCAACATTAATGAGACCATCAAACCTTTAAGTCCAACTTGCATGGTGAGCTGATAGTGGGAAGAACCCTCAAACCCCCACAAAATAATGTAAACCTGGGACATTCCCTTCTCTAATCTACTTAAAAAATACTTTATAATCCTTTTGTAAAGCAGCATTTCAGAATGACAAGTATTAGATCCCAGCTTGACATGTCAGGGTTATGGCAGCTCTGAGGATGGTAGATAATGTATCTACTGGACATGGTCCCCCCATTCTACTTTTTCACTCAGTTAATTAATACTTCTGACGCTATAACCCCTGCTTGAGTCTTTTAACATCTGTATCAGAATGAATTGAAATCATGCTGCATGCCAATTGCATAACTAGAAATCTCTACCAAAGCAGTCACATTTAAAAAGTGACAAGACATGGGTACATGATGCTTCTTCATCTTGTGTTCCACAGAAAAAAGAGATCACATTCAATTCATTCTCCTCACTCACTTTATCGATAGGGGAAACAAGCAGTTGCTTTCTAACTACACCCACAAATATCAGAGATCCCATTAATAAAGAGTTTGGAGGTATAATATTTGCCAAAAATATCAAGCATTTGTTATTTAGACATTATTACAACCTTCCTCTGCATTGGCTTTGTGTGTCACTCCTGTTGTTACATCCAGATAGCAACAAGGACTCTACTCCCAACACACACTGAGTTTTTATTCACAATGCAGCTTTTCACACATCCAGTTCTGAGCAGTGTGAGGAAGAGAAATTGCTGAAACACATCTGGGTGGGGAAAAAGAGAGAGGTGTTACTAAGAACAAAAGCTGTATTAGGACACAAGACAAGAAAGAGAAGGCAAGATCAAGGGGTATCCTGGGAATTCACTGGGAAAGTACTTGAAAGTCATAATACTTTCCACACTTATGTCCTGTCCCAACCACACTCATGAGAGTGTTAACCATGACTCCTAATGCATACTATTTGTCTAAACAATTTTAGTACCTATTGACCAATCCAAACTAGAGGGACTACTAAGGCCGTTGTTTATTCTTGGGTATAGCTTCTCCAGCTTCCAAAATGACATCAAGTGAGTGTTATCAGACTAACACAAACCAAGAGAAGGGGTTAACGTGTAACTGAAAAATGCCACTTGTTTACTGGTGAGGATCTTAACTTTGGGCAACCCTGTTGCTGTGCCATCTTTTCCCCTTGTCTAACTTAACCTGAGGGGTAAATACAAAGCAAACCTGGTCCCTGAAGGAGTAGCCATGAGAACAGTGATTATTAAATCTTCGTTAAAATACTGAGAAGATTGAAGAATATAAGAAAAGCCATGTATTCTATACTTAGAAAACAGCATTCAAAAGAACAATCTGAACACACCTGACCTGTTCCAGGAGAGGCAGGAACACAGAAACCCTGTGACCAAAACAGTCATAGAGGCAGGAGGAAAGTTGTGTTAAGACAAATTGGGCTACACACCAAAGCTGCCCAAAAAGATACAGGAGAAAGTCTGCTTGAACTGTTAGTTCATAAGACTTTCTTGTGTGTTTTACCTTCTAAATCCTTAATGCCATTTCTGTCTTCAACAGCAAAGGGAAATGCTACCACTTGAGCCAAAAAATTGGAAATTTCCTGATCCAAGAATGCCTTTTATTGGTGGCGGGTTGCATGAAACTAATTAATGAATGCATGCACTTCTAAAATACCACATACATACTCCTCCCCATACTGCAGATTGACCCATACATGTTTTGGTAGGTAAATACTCTACCACTGACCTATGTCCCCAGCACTCAGCATCCCTTTTTTCGACATGTTTGGTGGGCCATGTCATATAAATTGAGAGGCAGAAGCAGAATTTCTCAAGTTTGGGATTTGCTTAAAATATCTGGGGAATTACAGACTAATGAGCTAGATCTTTTTTCAAATAAAAAGAAATAAAACTTAAAAACACAAATGTTGTTCATACTAATACTTCTTAGACAGTCTACTCCTGACCTCGGATGCTTGCTCGCTGCCCTCTCCTTAACTAGGGCAAGCAAATGGTACTTGTGACAAAGCATCAAAAGCAGTATATTTTTTTCAATGGTTGCTAGACTAGTGCCCTATACTTTCCTGTCAACTGTTTAGGATTTGTGCCATAAGAGACCTGTTCCTCATCCCAATACCCTCTAACCATTATATGCATCTATAATGTGGATTGTCTTTCTCCAAGGTCTGCAAACATACTTAATTTCCTCCCATATTAAAAAGGTGATTATATGACTTACTGTAGGACCCTGATAACAGAAAGATTTCTCACTGGATAATAGAGATTTCATACACAACATAAGAAAAAGGAAATATGAGCTTGGTATTTGGTATACAGGAATGTGGAGAGCTGGACAAAGATGAAAAAGAAAAACTGAATACCAACCATAACAGCAGACCCCAGATTGAAATGATGAAACTTTTAATCAAAGATCACTGTGGTCCAACCTAGGGAGTAAATGGTAGCAATTATAGTAACAACAGCAACCGTGCAACATCTAAAAACAGGCAATTGCAAAACACAGAAATATAAGTGCAATATTACATAGAAAACACATTATCAAATACAACATTTAAGGTACTCCCTTTTACACCCTCAACATAGATTATAAAACACAAACACATCAGTCATTTTAAAATGGTCCACACTACATAGAACTGAGAAGACAGGCTTAAGCTTCAGAAGTAAGTACATTGAAGAGACCTTGGATGCTGTAGGCAACTGGCAGGAACAAGCTGAGCCCATGGAGATGACAGAGCAGGCGCCCAATTAATATCTGTTGATGATTCATTTTTTCATTCAACAAACATTTAATGAGGCCTACAATGTGCACCGGATTAGGCACTGGGAATGCAAAGATGAGTAAGGCACAGTCCTTGCCCTTAAGAATTTAGTCTGAGAGACGAGAGCCATAAACACGGACAATGATAATACAACCTGATAAGTGCTAGAACACTTAGCAGGTTGTATTATATCCATCCGAGTAGGATTTCTTCAGAGGAGCACCACTCCAGGTTGCTGCTGGATCCATGAAGTCCTCCTGAGCACCAAGGTGTGCTGTTGTTTCTTTCTCTCATGCGTTGAGTGTCCCAAGAACTAACGATTAAAGCTTTACTTTATAGAATACCTTTGATATACTTTACATATCTCTTCATGGAAACCCTGAAAATTAAGCATGGTATGGTAAGACCAAGGTTCGGTGTGTGGGGTAGAGGCATTAAACAACATAGCTACTAAACAGGTAGAATAGAATTACATTTCAGTTCTGCTGTGACAAAAACCTTTCTTCATGTGTAATGAAACTTCTCCACAACCTTTAACTTAGAACAAAGGTTACTAATCAATATGGGTCAAGGAATAGTCTAATCTCTAACAGTCCTAGCAGAATAAAATATCTGACGAGCCTCCACAGTAGTGTGTCATGGAAAAACAGTTTCCCTGCTATAATGCTTGTTATCTCTCTTCTTTTAAACCATGTCATGGTCAACACCATTATTAACAGTAACCATAGCTGATACACTTTACGTATATTCCTGCCCTGTTCTACAGTCTTGAAAAAATTATTTCAATATGGTCTTATATTCTACTGAATCCTAACTACTGGGGAAAACAAACAAACAAACAAAATAATAAACTACATCAGGAACTAAGGAAGCAGTTTAAGGATAGGCTAGCTAATGACATGGCCCAAACCCTAGAATCACTGTTTTCCTGTGCAGCTCTAGGCTTTCTCCCCAGTAAGTTCCTTTGAAGTACTACAAGTTAGTGTTTAATATAGGCCTTCTTAAAAAAGGCAATCTACTCAAATATAATTGCCCTGGTCAGAAAGCCATTATTTGAATCCTAAAGGGCAATACTAAGATTCTTTAGTAGAAACATGTTTATGGTGTTTTTGTTTGTTTGAGACAAGGTACTGTTATGAAACCCAGGCTGGCCTCTATTCAAGATGATCTTCCTGTGTAAGCAGCTCCAATGCTGGGATTATATGAATAGGACTATATGCCAGGCTTTGAGAAGAAAGTCAACACAGGATATTTCCAATTACGGTATATATTTGTTGTTTGAAAGTGAAGCAATGAACATTTCAAGTATCTAAGTGAAGCAATGGCTCCAATAACAGAATATTTATTCCTTCAACATCCTTCACATTTCATTTAGAGCAAATATACAGGTCTGCAAAAACACTGACAGTGAAAGCAGAGCGGATAAGATGAGAGTGACCAGGAACATATGCTATGCTGTTATTTCAATAGCGCACTGAAAATCAGTCTTCTTCTTGCTTCCCTCCTCTAATTTTCCTATAAGTTGCCTCTAGCTAACACTATTTATCAACTCCCACAATTTTTGCTTTTGACTATTTGTCACTGCCACAAGAATCATCAGAAGCATCCCTGTCTGGCAATTCATAATAAAGTCCATGCTTAACAAAAACCCTTACCTATTATATGCTTCTAAAACTCTCCAGTAATCCATCTCACTGTCCCTGTAGATATCCCACCCCCAAACTCCCAATGACTAACGAGTTAACCTTTTATGGTTCAATGCATAGTCATGGTTTACCAGGATTTCTGGTATCCTCAGAGAAGGCAAGAACTGTGCCTAATTCAAAACCGCAAGTGCACGAGCAAAACAACCGAAGATATAGGAGAGAATTATTCAATATTCTTGACTCAGGGTACCAAAAAAATGCCAATAATTGAATTAAAATTGTATAGAAATACGTTTAGCTTAACATTGCAAAGAGGACTAACAGAGAAGAGTCAGTCTGAGAGGAATCAGGAGAAGGGGACAGAAAGACACAAAGGTAGGGAGAGGGTAAGAAAGACCCTTAAAGAGCACCTCCGCACCAAATAAAGCCACTTATCATTAAAAACCATTTCTTCTCAGTGTTCTCAGGCTGAAATAGAAGCCTTTCTATCCTTAAAAGACAGCAGAAGGATAATCCTCTCACTAGATTCGGAAAAAGCCTTTGAATCCCCCCCCCCATGATAAAGGTCTTAGAGAGACCAGGGATAATAGGAACACACCTAAAAGGAATTTAAAAAAAATATACAGTATACCAACAGCCAATATAACTCAAAGGATTCCTCTAAAATCAGCATAAGACAAGGCTGCCGACTCTTTCCATATCTTTTCAATACTATACTTAAAGTCCTAGCTACAGCAATAAGACAACAAAAGGAAATCCAGGAGATACACATAGGAAAGGAAGAAGTCAAACTCTCACTATTTGCAGATGATATGATAATTTACATAAGTGACCCAAAAAACTCTACCAGGGAACTCTTACAGCTGATAAACACCTTCAGGAAAGTGGCAGGATACAAGATGAAGTAAATGAAATCAGTAGCCACTTTCTTGTATTCCCAGCACTGGTTAAACTGACCAAGGAGAATCTTAAGTTTAACCCAGCCTTGATGGTAGGTACATTTTACGAGTAAATTACCAAGCGTTGTTTGAGATCACAAAGGCCAAGGAAAGAGGGGTTGTGGTCCTCCTCCCCCATGCTACAGAAATAAGTATGTTGTCTCAAAGTATCTCGGAATATTTATTTATATTGTGAAGTTTCTTTCCCGAGGAGCCTTCTGATGCATTTAATAAAGTTTAGGTAGGATCACCAAGGACAGACAAGACTCTGAAAGAAAGGTTGGATCACCAGCCAGACACAGAAGAATGGACAGTAAAGAGACACCAGTAAGACTGTGAAGAATTTGGACATAGGTAGAGTACCAAGGTAACCGAGCCATGTGGCAAAATGTAGACTACAGACACGCTAATTCAACTTACGAGAGATAATTGAAAAAAAAAAAAAAAAGCCTAACATAAGGTCATTATTTGGGAGCTGGCTAGAGGGACAAAAAAAAGAGACTTTTTACAGTGGACTACAAGACCTACTGATGGGCTATCCCGCTAATTCTCTGCACAATAAAAGACAAAACTAAAATCATTCTACCCCTACAAACAGCTAATAGTGTTTAACCCATGAGACAGTATGCAGTGGACCTTGGAAGCTTGTTTGCAGGTTCCAGCGGGACAAACACACATAAAGAACGCCATGGCTGCAGCTACTCAGGATACCCTTAACAGAAGACCGGTGTTACAGTCGTCCCCTATGACCGAAGACCGGTACGATCCTCCTTTATTCGGGGAAAGGTAGTCCTCTTTGACCGAGCGCAACCGCATAGTGACCGAGCGCGACCGCATAGTGACCGAGTGCGATCACGTAGTGACCGAGCGCGATCACGTAGTGACCGAGCACGATCACGTAGTGCCTGAGCGCGACCGCGTCGCTTCTGGAGGGATAATAAGAGCGGTAAGAGAGGAAGAAGATACCTGCCCATCAGCCACATCAATCCTGGCACAAAATGAGAGAAATGCTACTGCCAAATCACCCTGTCTCGGGTCGGGGGGGGGGGTTGTCTGTAGTGGAAATTTAGGCATGGAGAGAAACCTCAGTGGGAACTCAACTAAGTCTCAAACTTCTCATTTGTTTGAATACGCGATTTGATACAATGCTCTTCCTGGGACTCTCTATTGGAAAGTCTAGCTGGCTGCTTTTAATGGCTTGAATTGGATTTTTTTGTTTGGCTGTTTGCTTTTATTATTCCAAGATATGGTTTCTCTGCAGGGCTGTTCTGGAATGCTCTCTGTAGACCACGCTATCCATGAATTCCTGCCTCTGCCTCCTGAGTGCTAGGATTAAAGGATTGAGCCACAATTCCCCGCCTTTTATACTTCATATTTTTCAGTAGCAAATTTAGCGGGGCATGGTGGCTCATGCCTTTAACCCCAACACTCGGGAGACAAAAGCAGAGGATCTCTCTGTGTCTGAGGCTACCCTGGTCTACACAGAGTTCTAGGACACGCCACAAACATACAGAGAAACCCTGACTTGAAAAACCAAAAAAACACTTCCTATTTTTTAGTCTGTTTCCCCTAATAAACCCATTGAAAACAAATTTGGAGACTTCACACATTTCTCTAGAAACAGTGGACTATAAAGTGAGACAGTCTGAAAATACAATAAAACAAAATGAAAGCCTCCAGAGAAATAACATGCCTGTTTTAGATCAAGTGTCCTAAAAACAAAACTAAACAAAAAACCCACATAAAACATAAAAACAAAAATTTATGCTGGGTAACATACACAACTTGCTGGACTAATTAGACAAAACATGTTGGTCATACATCAGAAAATCTTATAGTAACTTAATGAATAAACAGAAATGAGAAAAAAGTTTTCTCTTTGGTGTATGTGTTTTTTGCACATATGGACATGTATGCTTGTGTGGAGGCCATGGCTTCCTTTATGATTCTAGAGCCCCTAAAACTTCATATGATAATCCTTCCACCAGCAGGAAGTAGCCACATAGGAAGTGATACCCCATATCCATTACACATAAAAGCATGAAATAACCACTGTCCACCAACGTTGGATCTCAGCCAA